GTATCTTTAATACCATAACAGCGATGATAGCAAGTAAATACTCCACAAGCCTCTACACAGAACAAGCTACATCTTTAGTATTCAAACAAAGTTCAAATTTTGTTATCTACTACTCTTAAAACAACGTACAAACTGACGGACATGTTCTGTCTTTAATAGCAGCGATATTTTAACCAAAAACCATATCTCTCAAACCATTCAACAAAAAACAGAGTTTAGATACTCGATGCAAAGGTCATACAATGTACTACAAAGAACTCTACAGTGTAGTTGACCAAATTGCCCTCGAAGAACTACTAAACCAACATCCAAAACTGAAGGTCAAAATAGAACTCTAATCTGACAGTAAAATAGGACCGCCCACTTCAAAAATTCATAACTGGACATTTATTGATTTAAAAATTATAAACTTTACCAATCTAGAAAGGTTAACAAAACTTATAAAACTTTTGTGTCATAACTTTTGGAGTTTGAAGAGCCTAAGATACATGAAATAAGACTACAAAACAACTTAACTTTTTTATGACCGAACAACAGAAAACAATCATAACTTTTAGACTTCTTGTTTGATTTTGAATAAGACGAACGGTCAAACAGGAAGTCTAAAATTCAAAAACAACACTTTCTTATAGGCACGAGAGACGGAAGGCAAAGAGGTAGAGGATGAACCTAGACGTCATGAAGGCATTCATCAATTACTAGTAATCGCAATCATAATAACAAGAGTTACTAGTCCGCAGCCATAACCATGACCGTTACAAGTCCAACCATAAACCATAATCAGCCCTCCATTAAGTCTCTATTGCACCAAGCATTTAATCTGGACTTTAGAATTTATTTGATTTTAATTAAAAAAATTAGGTCTACCCTAATAAAATCCAACACAACATACCATATCTACTGTGCTCGAGAGCGTTGTTGATTAGATAAAGATATGGGTAATTTAAAAGAAAATCTTAGGGTCACTTATATTATCTTTCCTAGTGCAAGATGTGATTAATTCAAAGGAATTTTAATAATACTTTAAATTACTTTTCATAATGACAAAAGTTGGTAATTTTTTAGAAAATGGAATAAATTGAAATGCTATTATTCTCGGTAATTATTAGATTACATCGAATTAATGGAAAAATATTTCTAATTAGTATGATAATCAATTTAGATTTTTTTAATGTGGCTTATACTGTACTTATGTGCCGGCTCCATTATGGACAATAATATGAAGATTTGTGTTGTCAATAATATGAAGATTTGTGTTGTCATCCTTTTGCATTGAATCTCTTCCGTGATACCGTGAGTATATATATAGGCTTTAAACTTTTGATATTTTTAGGGTGCGTTTGATAGTGATTCAAATTCTTGTAAAAATGTTTCGGATCTCGATTCTCTCAAGAAACGTTTTAGGAGATGAATCAGAATCACTTTATGAAACTGTTTGGCTTTTAGACTGGATTATGATTCATAAGGAAATATATTTTTTTTGTTAAAAATTGTATAAATAAAAATACATTTCAAAATTAATTACATTTTTATAGGTGAAAAAGAATTTAAAAACAATTTATTTCAATTTGTTGCATTCAAAATTATTATAATTAAAATAAAATAAAATTGATAGCATGTACAAGAGCAAAAAGAAACTGAATCAGAACACTGCGAAACTACTCTGTGGGGTTTAGGAGCCAAGGCAGATACGGTGAAACATTTCTTGGCTAAAAGGTTTCTCAGTTCTCTCGTTTGGTCGTGTTTCTCATCATTCTGAAGAGAATCGAATCGGTTTCGCGCAGCCAAACGGCTTCTTAGTTGTTGAATTTTCTATCTAAATTCTAGTGATTATTGTATTTTTATTTAAATTTTCCTTTTATATTGTATTAAAAATATATTCTAGATCCTAAATTATACTCTTAATTACTATGGTACGAATAGTCATTTCAGCGTGCACCATGATACCCGAGATGTTAAATTTTACAGTGAAGAATTTTATGTGTACTAGTATTATTTTATAAAAACACAGAGTTCTAAAAATAAAATTATCAGTATTGGTATGGCATAATGTTGTATCAAAAGTGTATAAACTTATCTAAGGAACACATACAGTTTTTGTTCTTATCGAGTATTAACACAATTTAAAATTATTGAGAGCGTCATTAGTATTGATAAACTATTACAATAAATATTTGTACTAATCTATTCATGTTTACTTGGTTCCATTTAGCACTATGTTTACCTTTTTAAATAGTCTTAGATGTGTACTACCTCGTCCCATAGAAAGTGTGGTTTTTGGCTTTTAGACTTCTTGTTTGACCGTTTGTCTTATTTAAAATTTTTGTATAAATATTATTTATTTTATTATGACTTATTTTATCATTAGAGATACTTTGATAATGATTTATTTACTTTATTATTTGCATAAAATTTTCAATAAGACAAACGGTCAAACAAGAAGTCTAAAAGTAAAAAACGACACTTTCTTGTTGGCACGAGAGATGGAGGGCAAAGAGGTAGAGAAGTCTAAAAGTCAAAAACGACACTTTCTTGTAGGCATGAGAGATGGAAGGCAAAGTGGTAGACAATGAACCTGGATGTTACGAAGGCATTCATCAATTACTAGTAACCGCAACCATAATAACAGGAGTTACTAGTCCACAGCCATAACCATGACCGTTACAAGTCCAACCATCAACCACAATCAACACGTCATTAAGTCTCTCTTGCACCTAGCATTTAATCTGGACCTTAGGATTTTTTTGATTTTAATTAAAAAATTAGGAATCCTAATAAAATCCAACACAATAGACCATATCTACTGGTGCTCGAGAGCGTGGTTGATTAATTAAAGATATGGGTAATTTAAAAGAAAATCTTGGGGTCACTTATATTATCTTTCCTAGTGCAAGATGTGATTAATTCATAAGAGATTTAACAATACTTTAAATTACTTTTCATAATGACAAAAGTTGGTAATTTTTAGAAAATTGAATAAATTCAAATGCTATTATTCTCGGTAATTATTAGATTACATCATATTAATGGAAAAGTATTTCTAATTAGTATGATAATCAATTTAGATATTTTAATGCGGCTTATAATGTACTTATGTGGCGGTGGCATTATGGACAATAATATGAAGATTTGTGTTGTCAATAATATAAAGATTTGTGTTGTCATCCTTTGCATTGAATCTCTTCCGTGATACCATGACTATATATATATTGACTTTAGACTTTTGATATTTTTGGATGCTTTTGATAGGGATCTAGATTCTTGTAGAAACATTTTAGATCCGGAGTCTCTTAAGAAATGTTTTAGTAGATGAATCAGAATCACTTTATGAAATTGTTTGGCTTTTAGACTAGATTATGATCCATAAGGAAAAATATTTTCTTCTTAAAAATTGTATAAATAAAAAAAGTGTTTCAAAATTAATCTCCATGAAGGGCGGGCCTGGTGCAAGCGGTAGAGTCTTACCGCCTGTGACTGAAAGGTCCCGAGTTTGAGTCGTGGTGTCCTCGCATTGCACAGGCGAGGGTAAGGCTTGCCACTAACACCCTTCCCCAGACCCCACACAGAGCGGGAGCTCTCTGCACTGGGTACGCCCTAAAAAGAACTCAAATACAATTTTTTTTAATTTGTTGCATTAAAATGATTATAATTAAAATAAAATAAAATTGATAGCCTGTACAAGAGCAAAAAGAAACGGGATCGGAACACTGCGAACCTACTTTTGGGGGGATTTAGGAGCCAAGGCAAAGACGGTGAAACGTTTCTTGGCTGAAAGGTTTCTCACTTCTCTCGTTTGGCCGTGTTTCTCGTGGTTCTGAGAAGAATGAATCGGTTTCGCGCAGCGAAACGACCTCTTAGTTGTTGAATTTTGTATCTAAATTCTAGTGATTATTGTATTATATTTAAATTTTCCTTTTATATTTTATTAAAAAAATATATTCTAGATTCTAATTATACTCGTAGTTACTATGGTATAATTTGGAAACATATATAGCATATTTTATGGTTATCAAATTATTTTACATAACAGCTTATATTACTATTTAGACGTTGATTTGAGGTTATAGAAAAAATTAAAGGGTTATTAATATAGATATGAATTAAAGGGTTTTCTTAATTATTTTTGGTAATAGTAGCGGTGGATAATTTAGGGATTACTTTGTGTATTTTTTATAATGGTTGAAATTGGTAATTTTTCGTAAACTCAATGGATATTATTAACAATGATGGGATAGAGTTTATCAAATTAAAGACACGATGTTTTTAATTATTGTAAAAAAATTTATGATTTATTTATCGTTTTTCCTTTAGCATGTGTCGTGAGGACTAACATGGAGTCTCCTCTAGAAGTTCCATAGTAAATAGTGAGATTGTTGGCACATGAGTTTTCTGTTTGAAGAATGATTTTGTTTGTTTTTAACCCACAATGGACATGAAAGTTTAGTTAGGACTAAAAATGAATGAAACTTTTAAACATCTCAAGCTACACACACCATCCATCCAACATGGTCAATTAAACAAAGGGCCTGTTCGCTGGCTGGTGCTGGTTTAGGCTGGCTGGTGCTGGTTTTTTTGAGAGAAAAACACTATTACCTGACTAATTTTGGCCGGCTGAAACCAAGTGAACAGGCCGAAAGTTTCCAAGCCCACCTCGTTGACCCTTACAACCCACCAGCTCCAAAACAAAACTTGTCCCTCTCGCTCTCTCATCAGTCATCCCTGCGCTCCTTCCTCCCAGCTCCATCGCCCGCCGGAACACGGCCTCTCCCCGTCGACCTCCCCCACCACTATATAACCGCCCTGCCCCTCCCCCCCTTGTCTTCCCTTCTCACCACAGAACCCCCCGCCATTACCACCACCCTTTCCTTCCGAATCCTCTGTCTCTGCGTGCGTGGCACACAAAGCGCACGGCCATTACCAGAAACCCAGCTCCGCCACCCTGCTTGGTTCCATTCCAAGAAGCAAAGGAGGAGGAGGAGGCAGAGACGACTCAGACTGCAATGGGGGAGCAGGAGATGGACGCGGGCGGCGCGGGCTGGCTGTCGTGGCGAGCGGCGGCGGTCGCCGTGGTGGCGTGGCTGGCGCTGCACGTGGCGGCGCGCGTGGCGGACGCTCTGTGGTGGCGGCCCTGTCGCCTGGAGGCGCACTTCGCGGCGCAGGGCGTGCGCGGCCCGCCGTACCGGTTCCTGCTGGGGTCCGTGAAGGAGATGGTGGGGCTCATGGCGGAGGCCTCGTCCAAGCCCATGTCGCCGCCATCCTCCCACAACGCGCTGCCCCGCGTGCTCGCCTTCTACCACTACTGGCGGAAGATCTACGGTGCGTGGCCTGGCCTCTCTCCCACCTCTCGCTTTCGCCCATGTGTTAGTGTTACGTCGCCGAGCATGTGTCCCCCCTCCCCCCACCCCCGGCCCGTTCCGTTTCATTGCTCGCTCATCTTTTTGGTTGCGTCTCCGTGATCTGTTCCCTCCCTGTCCGCTAGCTTTCCGGCGCCTTCTCTCTCTCTCCTCCTGCAGAATTGCTCCCTTCCCTGTGCATGTCTGTTTGCGGCCAGGGGCTCAGCTTTTGTCTCTTGTTGTCAGCACATCACAGCGCAGCCGCAGCGCAGCTTCTCTCTCTATCCAATTGCGCTTACGGGGCTCATGGTGTTTACTCCCTCTTCGGGCTCTTCCTTCCTCCTCCAGACTCATCACTCCCAGAGACATGTCAATAATCTCACCTCGGTTGCTGCTGCCCTGCCATGCTGCATGCTCTTGTCCATGTCCTTCCCCTGCTCGATCCTGCCCCTCTGGCTCTTGCATTCAATGGAGCTGGGCTTTGGATCATGAGCGGAGCACATGGGAGAAAACTAAACTAGCGCAGTAGCCAGTACAAGTCCAAAGTCTTTTTCTTTCTTTCTTTTTTCTTCTTTTCCTCTGGTTTCTGTGTTCTTGGCAATTCGCGGTTCGTCGATCAGTTGGTTTGTTGATTGATCGGCGGCGTTGTCCACATGTGCAGGACCGACCTTCTTGATCTGGTTCGGGCCGACGCCGCGCCTGACGGTGGCGGAGCCGGAGCTAGTGCGCGAGATCTTCCTCACGCGCGCGGAGGCGTTCGACCGCTACCAGGCGCACCCCGTCGTGCGCCAGCTCGAGGGCGACGGCCTCGTCAGCCTCCACGGCGACAAGTGGGCGCTCCACCGCCGCGTCCTCACCGACGCCTTCTACCCGGACAACCTCAACGTAAGACACGGGCCGCGCCTCGCCGCTCTGCTCTGCTCTTCTTGGTTCGTCGTGCGTGCGCCGGCCGGTGCGGTGTGCCTGACGCGCGCCTTGTTCTTCTTGCTTGGTTCTTTGCAGCGGCTGGTGCCCCACGTCGGCAGGTCGGTGGCGGCGCTGGCGGAGAAGTGGCGCGCCATGGCGGCCGCCGCCTCGAGCGGCGAGGTGGAGGTGGACGTCGCGGAGTGGTTCCAGGCCGTCACGGAGGAGGCCATCACGCGCGCCACCTTCGGCCGCAGCTACGACGACGGCCGCGTCGTGTTCGCCATGCAGGGCCGCCTGATGGCCTACGCCTCCGAGGCCTTTCGCAAGGTCCTCGTCCCCGGATACCGGTGCGTACTACCTACCTAATGGCGGCGCGTCTCATCCCCGTCTGAGCCGTCTCGGATTTTTCTTTCAAAGACAGCTAGCTAGCGGCTGACCGAAACGTTGCTTGCAGGTTCTTGCCCACCAAGAAGAACTGGCAGTCGTGGAAGCTGGACAGGGAGATACGGCGGAGCCTGACCCGGCTCATCTCCCGGCGCAGCGACGAGGCCGAGGCCGAGGAGGTTCAGGCCGGCCACTCCGGCGGCGGCTTCCGCGACCTTCTCGGCGCCATGATCAATGCCGGCGAGAGGAAGACCCCCGCGGCGATCCCGGTGGCGGACATGCTGGAGGAATGCAAGACGTTCTTCTTCGCCGGGAAGCAGACGACGACGAACCTCCTGGCCTGGGCCACCGTGCTCCTGGCCATGCACCCGGAGTGGCAGGAGCGCGCCCGCCGCGAGGTCCTCGACGTCTGCGGCCCCGACGAGCTCCCCTCCAAGGAGCACCTCCCGAGGCTCAAGACGGTGAGTCAGTCAGTCCCACTGCCACATCACCCAATTTTCTTTTCGAATCTCCTGCCTTGGGCATTTCCGTCATTCCAGTTGCCCGCAGCTGACACGCACTGCTGTCCTGTTTTCCTCGTGGTATTTCCATTCCAGCTGGGCATGATCATCAACGAGACGCTGCGGCTGTACCCGCCGGCGGTGGCCACGATCCGGCGCGCCAAGACGGACGTGCGGCTCTCCGACGGGTGCCTGATCCCGCGCGACACGGAGCTGCTGATCCCGATCATGGCGATCCACCACGACGCGCGGTTCTGGGGCCCCGACGCGGCGCAGTTCAACCCGGCCCGGTTCGCCGGCGGCACGGCGAGGGCGGCCAAGCACCCGCTGGCGTTCGTCCCGTTCGGGCTGGGCTCCCGGATGTGCATCGGCCAGAACCTGGCCCGCCTCGAGGCCAAGCTCACCGTGGCCGTCCTGCTGCAGCGGTTCGAGATGAAGGCGTCCCCGAACTACGTCCACGCGCCGACCGTCCTGATGCTCCTCTACCCGCAGTACGGAGCGCCGGTGATCTTCCGGCCACGTTCGCCGGCACCGGCATCCTCATCATAGCAGCCCAGATGGCAGATGCTTCTTCGCCTGTCTGTCCCGGCCAAGCCCCACACATTCTTTTGTCGAAATTGGCGGAAATGCCGCAGGTCTGCCTGGTGGCCGAAAAACCGTAGGACATGTGCAGAATGACCGAAATACCCCCGCTGTGTATATGCCAACAAGTGATACTAGAAGCCAAGAAGCACTAACTTTTTGTCCTAGCCTGCTGGCTGCTGCTGCGTCTCGGGGCCTACCCAGGTTGCCCGGAAATGCCCTCGTTAACAGACCGGATCAGGGCCAGCCTTCTTTAAGAGTTGATGACACACAAGGGGAGGCCGGAGGATCCACACCTCTTCTCCCCTGTTTTGTTCCTTGCTGCCCGTGGCGTCTGGTGTATGTATTTGTATAGAGGTTTGTTATTCCATCTTTATTAGTAGAGAAGAAAATGCAATGAAAAAAAGAGGAGATTGAGATGGCAGAGTAATGAAGTGGTATGTGTGACTTGTCGGCCTCTTTCGGTTCTGTGGTCGGTGATCCCTTGCAACAATTGCGTTTCGTGCATGGTGATCCGGTTTTACATCCTACACTATTTTTTGTCGATTGTTCTTTTTCATAAATCAGTGTGTCCTGATTTCACTAGCTAGACCACACATTGTGCCCCAAGATTAGGGGCGGGATTAGATCACGGGAGATAATCTGGTTCCCATGCCTATGGACGCTAAACTACTATACTTTATATGAAACTACTTGCATTAGTTAGGCACGTATATGCTCATCATGAACCAGTAAAACCACGTTTTACACGTCTTTCCACATGAGCTTAGCCCAGCTCGTACAAGCAAAGATTATTTGCAGCCATCACTAATATAATACTAAAGGAAAAAACTGAGTCATTATTTGCAGCCATATGCAGATATGCCAGCTAGCTAAATGAGCCCAGCGGCATGTCGCTGAAACAAACAAGCAAAAACCAGGTGGTGAGGCGTGGGGACGCGCGGTGGGGGACATGTCTCGTGGGGCCGCGGCCGCGCGGGCCGGCAGCAGCCAAACCAGGGTGGGGGCGGGCGCAGGCGGGAGCGGCGCGCCGGGGATCACCTGCCTGTCCGTCCTTGGGGGCTGCTGGCTAGCAAGCTGTCACTACCGCAACGAGCATTCCAGACAGTTACAGTACCAACGGACAACGCCGCAAGATCCATGGCGTCCACGCCGTTTTTTTTTTCTTTCTCCCTCTGGACCGTCTGTCTCTTCTACAGGTAGGTCGAGTAGGGTATACTGTATGATTTTATCTGCGGATACAGATACATTTTCTTTTAGGAAAACAGGACTGTGTTTTTATTAAAAAAATTGCAAGAGTTTACGGCAAACATCAAGAAAACGAAACGAAGAAAATAAAAGCAATTACACATAAACTTCTAGCCATCGACTAATATAGGGTACATAAGCTTTCTTTGCTCTAAGGATAACTTGAGCAAAATCATTCCTGAAGTGGCGTTTTGCATTGGAGATATCCGGCTGCACATGTGTGCGAATTGCATCATTTCTTACTAACCAAATGGCCCAACTCATTGAAATGATTATCTCCATAGGAAAAGGAACACCAAGCTGGACCCTGAATGAAGTGATTGTTTGAAAAGGATCAACAGAATCTCGAATGAAAAGACCAAAGTGCTCCAACAGTCCACTGCAAATTGAGCAAAGAGATGCAGAAGAGTTTCTTCAGAGGATAGGCTGCAAACAGCACAATTGTAATCATCCAGATACATATTTTTCCTTCGTAGCAAATTTCTAGTGCTTAGCCTGTCTTTCATAAGTAACCAGAAGAAGACCTTTCTCTTATTTTGACTGCAACTTTTCCATAACCATGAAAAAGCAGGATGCACCTGCCTTCTACCAATGATACAGATACATTTAGGTTGCTTCAATTCGTTAGTGCTCAAAATAGAAAAGGTTGCTTTTTTTTTCCTCTTTTTCTCTATGGACCTTCTCTCCAAGTCTCTCTCTTCTAGAGGTGTGGGCAGGTGTTGCAGGCTAGGTTATTTCGATGAGGCCGTGTCATTCTCGATGTCGTTGTTGCTTTGCGGCGCATTGCTATCACTCTTGGTTTGAGTCTGCAAGGGCAAAGCCGGAGCTAGTCGCTTTGGGATGCAGCGATGCTAGGCAACGATGATGTGCTGCTTTCTCGTCCTAGATGTGGGCTTTTGTGGTGGTGGTGTTTGTAGGTGGCGGTGCTTTGGGGGCTCTGACTGATGTTCGCCGTGTGGAGTCAGAGTTGCTGGTTGCTTGTGTGACTATCTTGGTGACGATAACACACATTGGGCTCTGTCATTGTGTTCTCACTGTGTGCTTGTGGGATACTTAGGGTTTGTTCTCTAGGCCTTCATGCCTAGGTTTTTTGCGCAGTTTTTCTCTCGTAATAAGTGTGTGGCTGTAAGGTTTTTGCATCTACTTTCTCTTACAACCGGGCCAATTCTTTTCTTCTTAAGTGAATTGCAGGAGCTCCCTATCCCTGTTCCCTCCGTCCTCTTCTCTCGCGCACCAAAATTCTGGATCTCCGATAGTGAATTCTAAGGTGTAGGCAGGTTTTACTTTTATTTTGCTATATACTCCCTCTATCCCAAATTATAAGTCGCTCCAACTTTCTTAGAGAGTCAAAGCATCTCAAGTTTGACCAAATTTATAAAATAAAATAATAACATTTATGATAGCAAATAAGTTTTATTAATTATATTTTCATAGTATACCTATTTGATGTCATAAATCTTTGTAATTCTCTCTATAATTTTGATCAAACTTGAAATTATTGGACTCTCCGAGAAAGTTGGAATCACTTATAATTTGGAACGGATGGAGTATATAATATACTTATATTCATGTTTCGTTTTCTAGTGGGAATGTGTGTTGTAGACCGTTGCAAGTAGGCGAACTACCTCTTTGGACGACTTGAGTCGAGTGTAAACATTTTCTTCTACTAGTTGCTGTCGTCGACGATCGACGTCGTTATCGTGCGCCTTTCTGAAACAAAGTATGCATACAGAGAGTCAATCCGTAGTTTTCGGCCGGTTTGCCCATCATCTTTTCTTTTTCTTTTTGTAGCCATGCTACCGTACCCAACACTTCGAGATTTGTATGAACTCAGCCCAATGCAAAGCACACAACTGCGGTCGTGACTCGTGACTTGCATGCAACCGTGTGTTTGGTCCAGCACGGATTTTTGTTCGTGTTGTCGTGTTGACGAAAACGGAGCAAAACGCTAACGAGCTGTGCGTAAGCGTTTTGCTGGTTCCGGCCGGCGTCGTCGTCTATTGCCTTCAACTACCAGACTTTTTTTTATAACTTTTTTGAAGATTTTTTTTATATAACTTGAGACACCAGACTTTGCTGTGTCGTTGAATAATCATCGCCAATGGTGACTGCAATGCAAAGTCATGGCGAGAAAAAGAAATGTAGGGCCTGAATGGCATGACAAATTTCGTCCAAATCGTCTTAGCACCTCCTAGTATATGGACGTGCTTGATCCAAATCACCACTCCAAGTATCTGGTACTCGTACTAAGCCGCTTTGCCATCTCTTCATCTTTATACACAAAGAATTCTCGACGTGAAAAGTCAGAGACAAAGGCTTGATCTTTGAATAGAAAAAAGAATGTATTGGAAGGTCCCAAAACAATTGGCTTATTAAAAAAACCTTCTTCTTTGAAAGATATATCTCATGTCTGGTACTGCATTGTTCCACTCTGTAAGAAGTCCGAATCAGTCTCTTGCACCATTGGCAGTAACAAATTTAGATTCCGGACTATTTAAGCATGGGACAAAAAAAATATATTCGACGATTTTCACGAGGAAAATAGTCAAGCATGTGCTGATGAATAGTTCAAACTCGCTCTTTATCCAAGTGTCCAATTTGTCTCATCGACCGATTGTTCAGCGGGAAAATACCGTATTTTCTGATGGACCATCTCGTGACAATGAAATTAGTAGTTTACTGGTCCAACCACGTGACCCAGAAGTGGTCTATATATATGTGACGCTAATTCTCTTGTAAATTGCTAGGTACCCCGTTAGACTAGCATAATGTCGTGTATGACAAGAGCTAACATCGGCCATGTAATTTTGATCGTTGCAAAATCACAAGCTTTATGTGCATGATTTATTAAAAAAATGTCTTTCTTTTCAAGAAAAATAGGCTTCTTGAATATTCATATTATTCTTAGTTCTTTTGACAAGTATTTTCATAGCCAAGTTAAATCTGTTGAAGACAAAAAAAAAAGTTAAAAAAATGAGAGGAAACACAATGATCACTAGTTCACTACTAACAGATCTTCTCAGGGAATTAAACACTGACACTGATTCCCCTTATATCTCCACTAGGCTAGGAGCACTGGAGCAATATAACAAATAAATAAACCTATAATATCGACCAAACAAGTATACACAGTGTAGGCATGCATAGGCTAGTCTGGATTGCGATGTTGCTGCTTGATAGATAGGCCTGACAAAACACGAACGGTCCCAGGATAGGAGTGCCCATATTTGCTACAGCTAGGAGCCGGGGGCCGGGCGGCCAGCAGCCGGTGAGCCCAGGCACCACCAATGTGTATCATGGATCATGCAGTACACCGGAAAAGTACATGTCTTTCCTGGCATTCCAAACCACTGGTCCAATGGAATGCCAAATCCACCAATTATTGACGCACAGAGGCAGAGCAGAGCTAGCTAGCTAGGGGTGATATGCAGTAGTAGTGCACAGTGCATCAGTGGCCGCAATGCATGCACTGGCTCTCTCTGGCTGCCCTCACATTTTCACCAGGTGAACCTGATGATAGGCACTGCACTAAACACTACTCCTATAGCATGTGCAATTCAGTTACTGCAGCAGCAGCTGCTGCATATCATGCTTGACATATGACATCTTCCCCTCATTTCCTTGTGAGTGTTTGGCTGCAAACATTTTTGCAAGGGGGGTCCCCTGCCTGCCTGCTGTCCTCTTGCCTTTGAGCCTTTGAGGAATCATCCCCAATAATT